CACCTTAGCAAATGAATACAGAGCTAAATAGTTTGGGCGAAAGCCATCCTTAATGTCATAATCTTCTCTTTAATGGAAACGTGAACTTGGTGCTGTCTGTTTAACAAGCTAAAAGAACAAATCTCATAGTATACCTCATAAAAGTCTCAGAACTTGATTCTCCTTTCACTTATGCAGGTATAAATCACCATTGAACTCAACAGAGTTATACCAGCTTTAATTCTCGTACATATGAGAGGAGATTGAGGCCCTTAAGGTATTCAGCTATCTAGGCTATCTTTACTAATATACTGACATGATCAGAAAGCTCTCCTCCTTTAACAGAGAAAAGATGAGGGGAAAAAAGCAAAGTGACACTAATCTTTTCTGAGTCAGGCTTTCCTCTTGGGTGTGACTACATGCAGAAAAGCTAGGATTTCTAGGTGATACTAATCAAAGATGGCAGGAGCAACTACAAAGCATACAAATAAAGCATCCAAGTTTTATGTATTAAACCAGCCAGAACAGCACTCATGGTATAAGAGCTAGGATACAGTCAGCTGTGCTGCTGCAAGGTGCCTGGAGCTTTATTACATGCTACTATTGTAAAAATAAATTATGTTAATTTCTTTATTATTATTAGCAAACATAAAAGTAAAACAGTGCACACCAACAGTTGGCTTTCTTGCCTTCCAAAGATACCACATATTTTACATAGATGTGTTTTGGATCAGGAAACAAGATTTCTATAGATGCTTCCGCCAGGAAAGCTTGCAGCCTGTCCCAGCTCTTTTTAAATAGATACTCATAGATGTGTGTGGATATGTGTATGCATATGTATGGGTAATTTCTGATTATTTTCTATATGTGGATTGTTTAATCCAAATTCAGGCTCCTCTACATCATCACCAATGCACTGACAGACTTTAAGGTCCTTTTATGTTGCGATAGCTTAAATCTTCATGTAACAGAAAATCAGGCCCCTTGGAAAGAAACGAGCATCAAGCTACTTAACACACAATGCTGCCAAAGAGCTGAACCTGAGGGTGGAGTGTTTTGATTTTTCTCAGATATTACAGTGTTAAACATGGGATAGGTGGGTGGATGGCTGGCAAAGGAGAGGGTAAGTTTGTTGTGTTGAACAAATACTTAACTGTTACCTACTGCCCCCAAAAATACATTTTAAGCAGGAGTTAAGCTGTTTAAGCGTGTAACTGAAAAATCAGTAGTGTGTTGGTGTCATCTCTGAAGCCTCTTATCTTTAATGAGAAAAGGCAGTGTAGAGAAAACAAGCTTCAAAGGGCACCACTGAACATGCTAATGTCACTATCGCATGCTGATGTTTCAGACCAACAGCCATTTAAAACCCTTATTCATTCTACTTCTGGGCAATGAAAGGTGTCTAGCGGTTTGACTTCATTGTCATCAGCTAAACACAAAAAATACTGACAGTTTCAGACCAATTAGACTGAAGGAGATGCAGCCTTTGACCACGGTTCTGCAAGCACTGAATATCTTCACTTGGCTAAGCAGTTCCACTGAGCCCAGAGGGACTGGGTCTCCTTCCAGATCTATTGATGGAGGGAGGCTCATGGCCATACATTTTTGCAAGAGGAAGCTCAAAAAAGAGACAAAAGGGTATAACTGCAATCTTAGGAAAAATGTTCATTAGAAATGTTGATGGTGGTCTGGTTAGGAAAAAAAACTTTTGGATAGGAAAAAAAAATATTTCTACTGGCAGAGCTGAGACAGTTCTAAAATGCTTGCTGGTGCACATCTGTCAAGTCTCAGCAACAACAAAAAAGACTTAATATTTAAAAGAAACTTAAGAGTCTCTTTAGGAGTTCAAAATGAGCATGTACTGAGAGTTTTACAGTCAGAATAATATTAATTATATAATTATAATATTAATCTTATGACATTTTGATTTGAAATAAGCTTTAGCATAAGGAAACTGTATTTTTTATTCCAACTACTGCATTCTTTTTCATGAACTGTCCATTAGAATTAGTGCTCTGCAAGATTCAAGATCCAAGACTTGTAGGTACCCATGTAGAAGGCAGGTTGTCTGTGACCACAGCAATGCACTATATAGTAACGTTTGTGGTTTAAAAACCTAAAACATGCACTTTGGAGATGGATCCAAGAAAAACAAACAAACAAACAAACAAAAACAAAAACAAAAAAAAAACACAACAGTGATGTTGTATATATCCTATGCCAGGAGAATGAGTTTGAATTTTTCCTAAAACAGATCAGGAAGCCTGCTGTTGGTCTGGGGAGCTCATTCATCATTCATGTTATCAGACTGTCCACACATGCTGACAACAGGGATGGTCTTTGTAGGCTGTGTCTTGTTTTCAGAAGATGTATTCTTCTCACAGGAGAAGATATTCAGGATAACATACTCTCCAACCTGATAACTATGAGCTCCATTTCATCATTTTTCCCCAGAGCAACTGGGCAAAAAAAGATCCAAATGCAACTCTTGGCCACTGAGTAGTTCTGTATGTCCATTGTGTCCATGCGTACATGTGTGAGCTCTGGGGATTTCATTTTTTCTTAAGCTTCTTGTACTCATCTGTCTTTTTTTTTTTCTTTTTTCTTTTTTTCTTTTTTCTTTTTCAATTCCTGTTTCTGGAACTAAGTTTCCAGTCTTGTAAAAGACAGTTGTCTTGGTTTCACTTTTGTTTCTCTAAGCAGATAGGCTGGCCAGACCATTTCCCATCTCTATCTTCTTTCTGTTCTCCCTTTTTCCTCTTTCTGTTGTGCTAGCCCTCTTTGTGGAGTACTGATGAATGACATTTCAGGAGTTATGGGGTAAGGTGCAGCCTTCATCACCAAAGAATGTCTTTTGCTTCAGAGCCCTGGTGTGCAGTTCTCTGCTGCCAACTTAACTTGGCCTTTCCAAAACTTGGCTTCTAATCCTTTGCTCTCACTGGTAGAGCAAATATCTGGTTAATACCAGAACCAAAAATATGGCACCAATTTATCATTTGCAAAAGGTCATCTAATCTAGCTGGCTTGGGTGCTCATAAGAGCACTGCTAACAGCCACAGCTCCAGTACAGACGCATTTGCTGACTGCTAAGCCATCCACTTGGAAGAGAGCACGTAAGCTTCACTTACAATGGCTTTGTACAGGTTATAAGTGCAAAAGAATGTGACCCAGAGACAGGCTTCGTGTTCCTCTTTGCCAAATGCTGTATCCCATCTGTTTGTCACTATTACAACATTTTTTCTTTGGCAGATGAAAAACAAAATGTACATAAGGATGCAGTAAACTATTCCATACTCTATTCAGTGCAACCAAGCCCGTATGGTCATTGTGCTGATAATGATGCAGCCTCTTGTGTAGGCCGACTGTTGGAAGTGTGCAATGCATTACGTTCTAGTGACTGAATGATGTACTTGTGGCATGTGAAATAGTTAAGTCCTTGAAACATGATGTGAGAGAAGCGGTGGCATGTCTTTTTTATTTTACTTAGAAAATAAAAAATGTTTTTTGATATAAAATTATTACTTTGTGGCTCCCCTTGTTAGCTAAGTATTTTTTCGTTATCTCTGGCAACAAATTAAAATCTTAAAATATGTATCCTCATTTTGTTGTCCAATCAAGCTGTGAGGTGATACAGGATCAAACTAAAGCATTTATAAATTACCTGTATTTGTACTATCTCCTCTGTGAACACTGTTAATTGGAAAAAGGTTTAGAAGAGGTTCTAAACAGCCTGAAAGGGAGTTAGTTGCTGGGAGTTTGCTAGTGAGCTGTTTTCTGAAGATAATGTATAGAAGTATATCCTGTCTGTTCAAAGGATCCAGAATCCGTCAGTGACAAATACGTGCCAGAGATTTCAGCTAACTTTCAATTATTCTTGAAGATTATGGATGTAGTTATTTCATAAACCAAACTACCCAGCTGCAGTTGCAAATTTTTATTTGCAGTATTGGAAGCTGTATTAAAGTCTGGCTAAAAGCTATCTTCCAGCTTGAGTAACCATGCTTTGAAAATTGTTTCTAAATTCCTCATCTGTGGAGCTTTAACAAGCTCTTTAAGGGGGATGGGAACCTGGGTTTAGAAAAGTGCACAGCACATAGTTATGTCTTGTATATAACATAAATAGTTGTTTTGTGGTGTATACAAAGTTAGTTCTGCTCACGGAAAGGAAGTCTTGTTTCCTTTGCAGGAGAGACAAAGCCCTGATGTACACGTAGGACAGATGTGTCTTTCTACCACCATGCTATGACAAAGCTGCCAGCATCTGGTAGAGAGAGGGGACAACTGAAGCACCCCTACTCTACTGATGAACGTATACACTGGGCGTTTACAACTCCATATTCACTCAAGGGAAAGGTGCAGCAGTAAATTAAAGGCCTTTGTGTAACTGAACCCACTTACATGGTGTTCAGAGTGTGAAAGTTAAAACATACTGCTAGCTCCTTTTGTGGCAGTCAGTCAAGTTCCCCTCAAAGCTACTCAGCTCTTTGGCTGCACTGTGATCGGGCACGCTGGCTGCTGTAGCGTGCAGCTTTAAGGTATGGCTGCATTCCGCTGCCACCGTTACTTGGGACGTGCCTAATACCCTTCATGAAATTAGCTAATGAATGTACAGCATGTAGGTTACTGTGTGGCACTTGGAGCGTCCATCCACCACTAGCTTGCCATGTGTAACCGCTCAGTGTCGGGAAGCCCGAGTGCTGCACTGATTTTAGTGAATCTTTAAAAGTATTTTGCCATCCTGCAGGTCGTGGAAGTTCCCACATTGTGAATTTGTGAGAAGGGGCACTTTGAGATTAGTTGCTGTGGCATAACCTCCATTCTACAGAAGACACACAGTTCTGTGTTTATGCGTGCCTAGGCGTGCACGATACTGTTGCAGATCCGCCGAAACGCCTCAGACGGAAAACGCCTCACGGACCAGCTTCGATTTTCTCAACCTGAGGCCTACGAGCTCTGGGCCTGCGTTGCGACCGAGGGCACCTGCCCCTCGGCGCGCCGTGGTGGCGGAGCCCCGGGGGGTGGGGGCGGCCTCCCGGCGCTGACACAGGGGCATCGGGGCGCGCTGCGCGGCCGGGCCGTGCCGAGCCGGGCCGGGGGTGGGTGTGGAGCGCCCGCCTCTCGCGGCTCGCAGCCGGGTGCCTCCCGCGGGCGCTGGCGGCTGGCTGGCTACCCAGAGTGCAGCAGGCAGGCGGGCAGGCGGCAGGCGGCGGCCGGCACCGAGCTGCTGGCGCTCTCCCGGCCCGCCGGCGCAGCGGGAGCCGGGCCCAGGCGGCGGCGGCGGCGCGGCCCAGAATGCGAGTGTGAGATGCTTCCCCCGGCAGCGGCGCCCCGGGCCCAGGCGGCGGCGGCGGCCCCCGCGTGGATGAGGCTCTGGAACCGGCGCTTCGCCCTGCACAAACATTTCTATAGGACTCATTCGCCTTGCTGAGGAGATCGGGCCCCGCGCGGCGCGGCGCGGCCCGGCCGCACCAACACCCCCCGTCCCCCGGTCCTCCGTCCCCCGCGGCACCCTCGCGGGCTGCCGGCCCGAGGGCCATGGAGGGCCCCGGCGGCGCCTCGCCGCTCAGCCCCGCGCTGGTCGGCCGCCTCCGCCAGGAGCAGCAGAAGGTAACGGCGGGGCCGGGCCGGGCCGGGCCGGGCGGGGGGCCCAGGGGCGGGGGGACCGGGCCCCGGGAGGGGGCGGAGGTGGGGGGGGGGGCGGGGGACACCGGGGCGGCAGAGCCGGGCCTGCCTGCGGCGGGTGGGCACGTGACGGCGGTGACGTCACGGCGGGGGGGGGGGCGGCCCGGGCCCTAAACATGGAGCCCCTCAGGCGGGCTGGGGGGGGGGCGGGGAGGCAGCGGGGGGAGCCGGGGCTGGGGGCCTCAGCCGGCACCCGGGGACCCACTCAGCGTGTTAGAGCCACGAACGCGCGTTTGCCCACGGTCCCCATGCTGCTTGTTTTTTGTATACGTTAAAAAACGTTTAAAGGTGTTCCTGTGGTGCGCAGTGGAGCTTCTCAGTTCGGGACTTCTGTCTTCAGCGTGCGTTGCGTTGGCACCTGTTGTAGTTCAGAAAATGGAATAACGCGGGCCTGGTGTAAGTCGCGTGACTCGCCTGGCGCGTTGGCCACAAACGGTGTCCGCTTGTGAGTAGCACACCAGGTTCTTGCTGGAAGATCTGCGTAATCGACTGAGCACTCATGTGGGTGAGCAGTAAGGATCTGCTGGAACACCCTGCGGAGCCCAGTCTGCACGGACAGCAACCTGTTAGGCTGGTGGTAATCAGCGATAGCAACCTGCCTGCTCGTTTTCAGGGTGGCAGAACTTGGTGAAGGATAATTTATCTGGTACATTGTTGTCAGGCAGGCCTAATGTGTAAGTGGATGTCTGTCATAACCATGTGGAATTATTCCCAGTTCATGGTAAGACCCCCCTGTAAGCAAGTTTAAGAGTCTTAAACTGATCTGCTCCAGTGCAAAAGAGGCCCAGGAGACCATTAATTAAGCCTCTGATAGGCTGATGTAACAAAATTATATTTTATCATAAGGAAACTTTACATAATTTCTGCAAATTGGCTAAAAAAATTGATCACTTCAGCTTCAATATGAAATTATACTAAAGAACTACATATCTTGGTTACAATGAAGTGTCATGATGAAGATATAGTAGACTTTCCCTCTATGCAATGAATACATATAATTGGTTTACAACAGTATTTTCAATTATGAAAATACTGTATTTTAAGATGGAGGAGGTCTTTTAGTTTCAGCTGCTTCTTTGCAGATATTCATATTTTTCTCACAAAGTTACTGAATTTGAAGACTCATGTTTTGGTCTTACCACAAAGAGAGATAGAGAGGGAGATGTTGTTATTCAGTTCTGTGGTAAGCTAGTAATCATAGTACCAGCATCATAACAAATAGTACAATTATGTAGAACTATTATCTGTATGTGCTGGTGTTTAAGCGGGCACATATATTTCTTTTAATCAGAGTGATACTGTGCTGTCCTAGTGACACTTGATTAAGTATAAAGAAACCCATTTATTCCCATTAGTCTGAAGGCAACTTTTAGTATGGTAGTGAAACACAGCATTGTCTGTCTGCAGAATTAAAGATAATGTTTGAATCACTGTTGATTATTTTACCATCCAGGCATAACCCTGGTTTAGCTACGAGTTTTGAGATTTTAAGTGCTAAAGGGCTGCTGTGGAGAACACCCAAACTGAGGCCTCCTTCCTGTTTAAAAATATTAAAAGAACAGGATGTTCGTGACTTTCTATCTTTAATCTGATTGAGGCTGCAACTTCCAGGTTTATGACCCCTGGTGAAAAGTAATTTTAATTCTTGTTTAGGACTGCTTGCCTGTTGGACAGATTTCATCTTGTTAATTTGTAGTGATAGTAAGAGCAAACTGTTAAAAGCAATTTTCAGTGCTTCCACTAAGGGCACTTTGTATAAAAACATGACTAAGAATGTGCATCTTGGGGATAAATTACAGAAGAATATCTAGTAATTTTCATGATAAAGACCATCATTGGAAACACAGTGCCTGCGTACAGTTTTGAATATTTCTGGAAGAATATATTATATGTATCTTGGATTACTTGCAAAAGCAATATATGTTAGCTAAAAATACTGTGTTAAATCTGTTGCAAGTTAGTACAGGAATTATGAAATTAATATTTATATAGGTGAATTCTCATTCTATAGAGACTGCACTTAAACATAATATTTGATATATATTTATTCCTGTGATCAAATGGGTTGGGATTACTAGCTGATAGGAAGTTGACAAGTCGGATTGGTGTGATTTGGTAACACTTCTGAAGACTGGATTTACAGTGGGCTCACGTGTTCTATAGCTTCCAAGCAATGCAATGAAGATACATGTAATGGGAGGCATTACAGAACCAATTAGACCCAGGAGACATTTGTAGAGTGCAAACACAGTCGTGGAGAGTCTGATGGATTCCAGTGTTATCTGGTAATAGGATATTTTTTTTTTTTTCACTTGCCCTGACAAACACACTTTTTTATTTTCCTTTTAGGAAAATTAGGAGAAGGAAGTGGCTCTCCTGTCACTCATCGTGACAACAAAGCACAATTAGATTTAGCATAGTTATTACCATAACTAACTGTAACTTGGTAGCCACTGTGCATTATGACTGACTTAATTTTTATGAATTTGATTGGTGGAGGCTGTATGGTCTTTAATTTCTAAATTGTGCTCAAGATACTGCAAGGGTACTTGCAGTTTATTAACAGTGAAACAACTTTGTAGGCGGTTACGTGGTAACAAATCGCAGAATCCTAAACTTTATGCTCTTTTATTTTGTTTTTCCTTCTTATATGATTTACTTACGTGGCTAGCTGCTTCTGTTTTCAAGTCTTTTTCAAGTAATATCTATGCCACAAAATCAACAACTTGGCAGTGCTAAGGCTGTTTGTGCAGCCTGAAAGGGAGCAGTGAAATTGAGCACAGTCTTGTACACTTCCCACTGCTGCAGGAGTCACTGGAAACCTGAAGCTGTTTGCCTGCGGACTCAGAAGATGAGTCAGTCGGTGTGCTTTCCAGTGTAGCGTCTCCCAGGGCATTGCACTTTTTCAAGCCTGCATTCAAGTTAGCAGAATTTAGAGAAGGCCTGGGTACAAGACACCAGGGTGGTAGGGCTTCATTTTGCACACTGTTTGAGAAAAACTGACATAATATCTGAAGCTTTGTTCAACGTACTGTTTAAAAGGTCCCGTCTGAAGCTTCATTTGCCATATTCTATTTAAAATAAACCTGGACAATTGCTTCCTACGAAACTGATCATCCCTTTTACTTTCTTAGTCTATGTTGTGGAGTCTCCCAGAGTAGCAATATTTGTCTTTGCTGTTATTAATATTGAATTAAGTACCCAGTAGTTTACATAGTGACAAGAATTGTGAAATAAGTTAACACGAAGGCTTCTGTTTCACTATCAGTGTAAACAGACTGAAGAACTGGCTGCCATAAAAAGGTGAATCCCTCCACCACCTTTGTATCAGCACTTGTGGTCAGGTTGCTTTGGGGTAAGTGGAATCCAGGACAGCAGTGCCAAATGCCAGCATGAATGTGGCTGGGAAGGTGCTGCACCAGCAATGGGTGAAACTGGGTTGCCCCTTGGAGCCACAGCCGTGCTTGTACCAAGTCAGAGCAGTTCTGAGCAACAGTCACAGATGCCTGATCGAAAATTTAATTTATGATAATGTGAGTTATCCAGGAAGCAGATGAGTAACCTGGTGAAAGATTTTTAATTTTAGTTTTTGTTGTGGTCGCTTGTTTGTGCCTTTGAGCACTTCTGGAGTGTCACTTCTGTGACACTGCTTAGTGACCTGGGTTGGTCCAGCTTAAAAACAAACTTTGTTGTTGATTTTTTTTTTTCTTTCTTTTTTCTTTCCCCTGGATTATTTTTCAGCCAGAGTGGTTCCCTAATCTGGTTGAAAGTGCAGCATCACAAATGTGTGCCAGCAGATTGTGCCGGGGTTGGAAGGATGAGGAGACAGGCAGGGGCTGATGGCTGGTTTGCTCAGGTCTGGGGCCGAGTGTTGAACCACAGCCTGAAGGTATGTCTGTGAGGCAGTTTAAGCTAGTTAATTTGGGCATTGCTAGCAGCATAGTTGTTGCACCATAGGCTACATCAAAGCTTGCCAAACCTGCCTGAGACGTTTGGTAGGTTAGATTGTGGGAGTTTCATGCCCGTGTCTACTGCTGTCTTGGTATGTGAGCTGGCGTGGGTATGGTATAGCCACATGATTATGTTTACCTGAAAGAACCTAAAATATTAAGTTATGAGCTCCTTAGCTTTGTCTCAAGATGAAGTTACGTGACACAGCCACTGCCTTGCTGCCAGGGAAGGACAAGACCTTGCTCCACTTTGTTCCTTGCTTGCACCAGTTCTGTTGGCTCAGAGCTCATTTAACTCACTCAGCTAGCAGAAACGCTCCATTTGCTGTGTTTGAGAGTTGAAATGACTGACAAAAGGATCTGAAACAGCAAAATGGGTGCTGAGAGCTTGTAGCTGGATGTGGGGAAGAAGGGTGCCACCTCACGTAACACAGCACTGCCTGCTTGGCTGGCTCAGCGGAGCGGGCAGCCATGCTTTGGTACGCGCGTGTAGAGTTACTGAAAAGTAACTGCAAGTCATTTGTCTACGTGACCTACAGCCACAGCAGGGATTGCAACATAAAATAGTCTTGAGAGGACAGAATTTCACTGCTGGCAAAGGAGAGATGAGGCATTTTTCTGTCTGCTTTATAATTCCTAGATGGTTCAGGTAGAATTCTTAAGTTCACAACAGTCATTTTAGTGCTACGTTAGTTTCAGTGTATTGGTAAATTATAGTTACATACTACTCTCACTGTAAACATGTGAGAGCCAATTGTGTGCACAATTAATACAAAAACACTAGATCTCCACTTGTTTTCTTGTACAGATAAGTAAAATCTGTGATAATATTTTTAAATGGGAAGATTTTTTCTTTTAGAAAGAAATGGTTGCCATGATTCAAATTCATTTCTCCCTTCCTTCGGTATTTCTCCCAAATACATTTCTTGAAAAGGCATAAATTTCCACCCGAAGGGGAACTTATGTTAATAATTT